GGAAATCAGGGACTAGAGCGTCCTTTGAGATGTATGCATTAAAGACAGTTGGAAGAACTGGATATAATTCTTTCTGGAAATTGTTTTTAAGTATATTACAAGAAGAAAAAATTAATCATATTCTTAAATCCTCTGAAACACAATAGCTTTCAGAGGAAAAAAATCATTGTAGGAGCATTGCAAGAAGCAGCATGAATAGGGTTACAATCTCTCCCAGTTTTTAAAGCCATGGAGCCAATCCTCAGTACACAGGTGTGCACCTCCCTTTTACATTTTATAATAACATTGTCTCCCTAACAGTATGTTTGAAGTCAATACATCCACATTGAAAGGAGTTCCAATCATATGCACACAAGAAATGGCAGAAGAAGCCTTAAAAAGCAGACTTACTAAATCTTCAGTCAAGCCAGCCCTCAAAACTCATTTTCCACTGCAATTTACAGAAAGGAGACCCACAAAACTCATACACATATTAGTCTCTTACTTCTCCTCAAGCATTTACAGGCATTCAAAAAAGTGTGGTTTTTTTTAAGACAAACATCTTTTTCCTTACACTTAACTCTAAGTTTCTTGTTCAATTTAAAAACAGCAGCAAAATTAAACATTTTCTTAATGAAAAAACTACTGACTGCATGCATTGTAAACATCAACAGCTACTAAAGACATCTCCTAGATTTTATGTCCCAATTGTGTGATCCAGAATCCTAATTTGTCTAATGTACAATATAAGCAAAGCCAAACTGCACTGCAGAAATCTGAAATACCATTTCAACTGCTCTTAATTTACCTTTTATGACCCAAAGCAGGGCCTGAGAGCTGCACTCCATGCTCCCACCACCTTTTGGCTATAGCAAAATCCAGTCCTGGAAACTCTACTTAGACAGAATCAATTCTTGTCGTACTTAATGTAAAACAACATGAACTAAATATATCTGATCTTCTTTTCCATTAGATCAAGCAGTCCTGAAAAGCTATGGCAGAATTTGCATTCAAGATGCTGACCAATAATGCGTGTTTTAACTTGCTGTGGCAAATAAAACTTTGTGCCATATGGCTGATTAGAGATATTCTCTCTCTTTTTCTTCTTCTCTAAACAGCTGGGTGAGTAACAACAAGCAAAAGACAGTCAGCAGCTGCACACTGTTATCATTACTTTGATACTGCTTGAAGGAATCTAAGCCTTCCACAGGTATGCACCTGAGATTAGAGGCAAAGAGTTTTCCTCTCTAAATATGAGAGGAAACAGCTATGGGAGTTATAATTATGTTTTACAGGTGTCATCAGAACAATGCTTCCAAATTTTACCCAGAACAAACATACCCTCTTTCCATTTTGTGATCGAATTTTTCAAAGACCTTCAGGGAAAAGATATTATTGTACAAAGACAACAACAGTGAGTAAATAAGTATAAAGGCAAACATTTCTATTGCAGACTTCCCAACTTTATCTATTTCACCCATGCAACTTTAGTAGTTATCCAACAGGATCTGCAAACAGAGCATTAACTGTCAGGCTGAGTTTGATTCCCATGTACCAGGAATTCCCAGGCTGGAATGCCACTGCACCCCCACATCTGGCACAGGTTGCTATTCAGAGGAGAATTTATGAGCCACATGCCTCTGGCTCCTCATTTGTCAAAAGGTATTTGGAAATGATAATGGCTAAAGGAACTTCATCTGATATTACCTTCTTTGCACCCAAAGTTTTAGTGGCCAGAGGAAAGCCTGAGCTGAGTGTCAGTTGCAGCTGGGGCTGAGTGGGAAGAGGGAATTTAAAACAAGAGATAGAACATGTTACAAAAGCAAGTTATGCTGTGGACACCTCTCTGCCCACACAGCTCTTGCCTCACTTTTACCATCCCATCTGAAAGGGAATGTAATTGATAGCTGTGAATGGTAACATATTTTAGGTCTTTCATTGCTGTTTTATTATAAATTAAAACCAAACAAAAAACAACAAAAAACAACCAAACTAAACCACAAACTGCTGTGATAATAAAGATGTTTATAAGACAACTGCAGCTGTGTTACCTCCTCTCCCTAAGGTAAGTGACCCCAGATGTGGAAGGAAAGAAGGCAAACTGTTTTCAGCTTTCTCCTTCAGGGAGCTGGAGATGGCATTTGGGTTTGGACTTTGGAGATTATCAGCATAATTTCTCAGCTTCTTTGGATGGTGGTTCTTCCTTCTACATTAAATAAGTGAATGGGAGCAACATTTCCCAGAACAGCACAATTAAAGAGAACGACACAGAATCTATTTAAAAAAGCTAATTTTTCCATGATAAGTTTATATTTAAAAGGACCTTAGGATAATTCTCATCCAGTCATCATACTAAAAGTCACCACTAGAGCTGTGCACCCAGTCACAGGGTTAAGAATTTTGAGAGTTCATCATAAAACATGTGTAAAGCAGCACAAATCAAAGGAATAGTTGTACAAATTTCACAAGCTTTTTGTCTCATGTAACACATGAATAGGAAAAATAAAACCCATTGGGTATATAAGGTTTCCAGCTAAGCAGGGAATGACAATTACAGTGCAGCACTAATTGTGGTCTTTGTGAATATTAAAGGTCTTTTTCTATGCACACAGATATATTTTCAGGACAGAAACCACCCTTTTATTGTTGGAAAGCACCTAGAAATCTCTGGACACTACTCTACCAGCAGCTGTGTTATTTTTCTTTAAGTTTAAGTTATTGCACATGGCATCGTTGCTAGGTAGGACTTGGCTTCCAGCTTTGTAACACTGATGGCTGAAGTCTGGGCTGGACTAAGAAACAAGCAAAAATTCAGAGGTGAAAATTACCTCTGTGGGGGTGGTTTGTATTTGTTAATGCCTTTTAAAAATTGTCTTGGATATTTGCTTGAGCAAGGTATTGCCAGTCTCTGCTCTCCAGGCATCCTAGCACTTGTACTCTTGTTGCTTTCAAGTTCAGTGTCACCAAGATACTTTCAGGCAACAGATCATCTAATAAAGAACAATATGATGTCAGTGTGTAATGACTTCTTGAGAAAAAGAGTGATGTTATTCACCAATACAAAGAGACAGTCTCACTTTCTTCTCAGATAAACAACTTGGTAATGAAAGATTTTTTTAGAGGTATAGAACAAGTGAAGGAAATTTAAAGGGGCATAGCAACTTGTATGTTAAAAAGCTCAAACACCCACATTTTAAATATTAATAACAGACAGAGCCACTGATTCCATTTCTATTGACAGGAAATTAAAAAAATAAACACATAAAAATTCAGACGAGGATTTAAAAAAACATTATCCAGTGACAGAGTCTGAAGAAAGGAATATTTCTCAAAACACAACATTTACAGAAAAGCGGTAAAAATTATCACTGTGCTCATGTTTGTACTAAACTCACATTTGATGTAACTGATTAAAATACAGTAGATGACACTGGTAGCTCATGCAGGATTAGAAGTTTTAAACTACAAATGCTGCAAGAGTGTACCTTAATAGGCACACAATGCACAGCAGTCAAGCTCTGCCAGGAAGGTTTGAAGTGTACCTGTCTTACATTTCTTCCTATACTTTAAGTCCCCTACACTGCCCAACATCCCTAACATGCCCTATACATCTGTACTGTAAATGCAAATCAGGTCCAAATCCCTGAATATCTTTGTATTTTTTAATTCACTAATGCCACCAGCACTCTGCATGTAGCAAAAAGATGGTCATTAAGAAAAGATATCATGAACCATTTTTAAACAGAATACATTTACCACAATCTTATTGCTAGTCTTGGTTTTGTTCTTTAATAGTGCTAAATAGTCACTTGGGAAAGCATGTTATGTACAAACAGTGCACACAAAGCTTAATTCTTCTGCAACTTCAGACAGGAGTGTAAAAAGCAAGCTGGAGTCCAAAGGCAAGGAGGTAGAGCTCTAGTAAATCTGATGCAAAGCCTAATCTGTCTTTTGTCTGTACAGTCTGTGGAATATTTGAAAGGGAAGCAAACACACCAGCAAACATTGCATGTTACTTGTCTCAGGGGAAGTTCTGAATTTTTGATCACCCACCCAGTCACAGATAATCAAAAGAAGGACCTTGCAAACCAAAAAATTTCAGGGCGGGTCATCTATTTCTCCATCTCTGTCCCTTCATATAGGTTTCATTCCAGCTTATCAGCAGGCTATGCTATAAATGGTAAGAGTCTAAGAAAGTAGTAGAGGCAATATCTCTGTTATCGAAAACTATTTCTAATGCTACTTCTGTGCACATTTTGTTTTAGTAGGAAATGGAATGGATAGACAGCTTTTGTGGTTTCATCTCACTCCAAAGTGCAGTGCCTCTTCCTAGTGCACAACCTTGCAAGGTTTTATAGAAATGACATTCCTGTTGTTGGCACTGTCACAGGCAGACAAACCCAGTTAGCTCAGTGCTAGCTGCCTACTGAGTTTGATCATTGGTGTGAGACAGGGTTGCACTGACAAAATACCAACCACAAACCTGGAAGACTCTTAGTTCACACTCTTGCCCTGCTAATTTTTACTTCAAAAGATAATATTAACTGGTATTAGAACAGAAAATTATTCTATTTTTAATTCTCAATTGTAATAACCAGTTAAGAATACAGTAGCAGAAAATAAAAAAATTAACTATAAAGCTAGCTGGAAAAATAAAACATATAAAACCCCTACATAATAAATCTTACGTACTCAAAAGCTGTGGCAAATGATCAGAATTGTACAGTGTTACTTTAAGATAGTGAAGAGTTGATGAGGCTGGTTGAGAAAAGCATGAACAGGGCCTCTTGCTTATCTTCACCTGGCTCGAGCAAAGTCTCGGAGGTCTCATGGCCCGATGTTGTTTCAGTGAAGCACAGGAGAACATCAAGCCTCTGAAGCAGCCAAAAGCCACACTCCCTTCACTGTGAAAAGCAACACTTGTTATAAATCTGTTTCATTAAGGAGATAAGGGTGTGCACAAAGACCCTCTGATGAAGGTCAGAGAGCCTTTGCTGCTGCCTCAGTACGTGGAGGAGGAGGGCCAAAGTGTTTGTTCTACCTCTTTGTCAATTATAAATTCTGACAGGGTAACGGAGACTCTCATTAAGCTCCATTAACATATTGACTTACACATCCCTCAGGATTCAAATGAAGGAGAACATGGGACATGCAATGCATGTATGACCAAAGTCACCAAACCCTGTCCATACCACGCAATTGTTCCATCCCCTTGGGACAAACCAAAATTTATAATATAAAAGGGAGGCTTCAGGGCACAAAAGGCTGGAGGAGGAAAACACCTCTGGAGGAGGAAACCACCTCTGCCTGCTCAGGATCAGCCAGCGGATTGTGTCTCTCCCCCTCTCCTGAAGGGACGCCTTTAGGTGAGCTTTGCGCCTCCAACTGCGTTGGAGTACACCCGGGAATATTCACTTTATATATATATATATAGATAAATATATATATATTTATATTTATCTGTAATAAAATCTATATGAAATTTTATAAATTATATATTTATTTATCAATTTATATAAATATATAAAAATATATTTATAGCTATGAGAATCTTACTCTACTCTGTGCCATGACACACATCAGTACTCATTAGCCAGTGCATTTGCCACTGGCAATTGGGAACTTGCTTTCCTGTTGTTTCAGTAAACCTTCAGTAAGCATTTGTGAACCTGGATCAGGCAAAGTCATTATGGAACAAGATCAGACTTTTGGAACTGGATTGATAACTTCACTAACAGCACTTCTGAACTCCTGCAAGTTCTTCTTTCAAACTCAAGCAGAGCTAGAGGGTTAAATTGGCTGAAATGAAGCCCAGCCGCACCCAACCCCTCTGATCTCTGAGGACTGGCTGGGACACAAGGGGGTTCATTTTCTGCTAAATACTCATACCTTTAATGCAACAGCAGCTCACTCATCCTTCCACAGTATAAATGTCAATTGATATTCATACTATCCCTCTGAAAAGAGTCCAACTGCCCCATGATTATTTTTTTTTTTCATGGAGGAGTCAGATTACAAGGATACTCATTTTCTGGTTGTATTTTAAGAGTAAGAAACATTATTCCTTCAAGGTATAAGTACAGTTACAACCCATTTCCTTTAATCCTTTTTCTTCGGTATGATTCCACATCTGAAGCTGACAACCAGCATTATGCAGTTGACTAAATATAGTTAAAGATACAACTAAGGAAGACACTTCCTCTACTTCATATATAGAGATGACATAAATTAATCAGCTGAAATGTGGGCTGTGTTTTGGTTTTTTTCATTTTCATTCAAGAATTTGCAGAATTATTTTAAATTGATTTGATGACTTTCGTGTTGTTTCTATTATAGTACCTACCCATCAGTGACTGTTTTGAAAACTACTGAATGGAACTCAGTGTCTGAAATGATCACTATTAAAGAGTCTGCCCTATTTATGTATTTTTTTTTTAATCTGACCTTTTGTATCTTTATTCTCAATACAGTAATCTTCATTTTCTTTTTGTTTGTCTCCTATGGACTTTTCTGTGAACAATGAAGACAGTTTTGAAACACTACCTTCTGTACTTGCCAAAATTTACTCTACAGTTTAAGAAAGTCTAGCTATTTAATGTCTGGTATTTTCTTTGGCTACAGAGCCCTTTGAAATTCCGACTAGAGCTGTGAAAACCCAGATGATGAACAAGCACAGTAGTGCAGTGTATTGAGGATTTAACTTCAAAAAAAAAGTTTTCTAGCCCCATCAAGCTAAATTCAAGTCAGCAGTGCTGTTCAAATACAAGTCAGGAAGTAAAAAATACAAAAATGTTTATTCAAACAGAATTCTTTCAATAGAAAGCATAGGAGCTTAATGTCAATCAAGGGCAGAAAATAACTAAAAGCCCAGTAGGACAACATCGCTGGATCACACACTCTCACCTATCTTCTAACTGTGGTACCTGGACATCCTTCATTCACAGTAAAAACTGTACTTTAAAAACACTGTAAATTGCATGTTTTACACTGTAAAAAATTTCTATTCAGTTCCGCTCAAGTTTGGCTGATAAAAGATCATTTCATGCACTTTTGGGAAGAAATAATATGAAACTAGTGCCCTACACATTCCGATTCTCCACGGCTTTGCACAATTGTTTATACTTTTGCAAAACACATGTAAAACTGGCACAAAGTGCTACCGTTCTGATTTGTCTTTATTTCCCACTGTTAGGGGGAACAGCTTAAAAGCAGAAGACTGAAGGGAAGGACTGTAAATCACTCAAGTGACCTTGGAACTGGGAATAAGCCTTGATAAACCAGTGTGAACAGCACGGACCAAGTATAACAGTGCCTGCATGTCCACTTCTGTGCCCCTGCCTGGGTGTTGCTTCAGGGATCCCTGACTAGTGAGGTAACAGAAATAAATTTATTCTTTGCATCCCAGCCCTGATTTTGTGTTTATCCCATTTGCCGGCCTTTATCCCAGCAAGACCTGGGAACAACCATGTCATGGCTAGCAAAAAGGTCAAAGAAGCCAAAAAAGCTGAAAAAGTTGAAAAAGTCAGGGGCCGGAGAGGCTGTGGCGGTGAATCCCCACATTCCAGGATGGCCCAGCACCGAGCGCTGGACCCCTGTGGCCACTTTCCTTGCCACAATGGCTACTCCAGAGACGTGGCCCGAGATAGATGACGGGGTGGTGGTGAACCCCCACAGGGTCGAGATCGCCATGCGCGGGCTGCCCTGGAAAGCCGCATCCAAGTCCTCCCGCAAGCTGGCAGGGAGGCTGGGATGGCTCCTGGCCACGGGGCTGAGAGCTCTCGACAGGGAGGTTATAGCCCTGCAGAGCAAGGTGAGCGAGCTGGAATTGGTCACCTACGCCCGGGCTCGCGACTGCGAGGCGATAGCACTGCAGAGCAAAGTGAGGGAGCTGGAGTTAGTTACCTACGCCCGAGCTCTGGAACGAGAGGTTACAGCGCTGCTGGGTAAAGTGAGAGAGCTGGAAAGGGAAGTTGTGACTTTACGGGCTGCAAAGATGATTGCACATGAGGTAACCACCACCCAAGCGGAGCAGTGCTACGAGCAGCAATGCACTATACAGCAGCTGGTGTCACCTAGGCATAAATATGTGGAAAATAAAGTGCTGATCTCCCAGGTTCATGCTCCAGCTATGAAATCTTCACAGGATCCCAAGGAATGGGATAGAAATCTTTGGCGTGAGTACTCAGACTTTGAGATTGAGATTTAGCCAGATTTAGCAGATAGTGGGGTGGAATAGATCACACACATTTACACTCTGAAAGAGTTCCAATTATGCACTCCTAGACAAGGAAATCCTTTTGAATTAGAAATAATAATTCTAGATTATATAGTCTTATGGGGATTGTGGCTGATGACTGGATAAAAAAACAAAAAACAAAACAAAAAAAAATCTTTAGAATTTTGGTCCAAGTTATTCCAAGGCACCACTATACATTATACCCTGATGGGAAAATGAATCAAAGATGTAGCTTGGGCACTGCAGAAACTGAAGGAATTACATGCCAAAATAGCATGACTGTACACCTTCAGTACAAAACATTGTGAGGACCAAAAATCTTTAAGATGGTGTCTTTCCTAAAATATTACCTACAGAGGAAATGAAATTTATACCAATGGGTTGTGCAAACTTTTAATCTAGATGTGATCATTCATATAATAACTTCTGACAATGGAGTATAGTTGTTTTTAACTTATTCCTTTTTTTCTATATCCTCTGTTAACATCATATTCTCTGCTTGTATTTCATGTATCTTTGATTATTTCCTGTGCCGTATCTAGGGGGGGATGGACTAGAACTATGTTACTGGTGTCACAAAACCAACATCCAGTCAAAATTCAATCTGAAATAGCAAAAGCCACACCTCTCTAATCTGTGTGGCAAATTACCCCATCTCCAGTTACCAAGCCTGGAGTAATATTGGCTGAAGGAGCTGGAGCAACTACATGTGTATCCCTGGAGAGAGACGACACTCCTGTTTTCTCCACAGGCTGGCTTGTTGTGCTTTTTAGGTTTGTACCATAAGCACATATCTTGGATAAGATTCTGCAAAATCAATATGTAAATACTTGTGTGTTGTTGTTTTTTACTGTAACTAACTTGCCCTTATTCTTCCTGGGAAGTGTCTGTAGAGCAGGTGATGTGTGCCCTCATGTGAGGTTTAACTTTGATATCCAAGGCAGCTGCTCCCTTATATTTGTGAACCTTGCAACACTGGTTACTGGAGAACTACATCCCCCTTCAACATCATGAACTCTGTTCCAAGTTTGAAGGCATGTGCTGCTTTGACCTGGCTGCAGAACCAGTTGGCATGGAGGATATAATTCATTATCTCAAGGACTTCAAATCACAACCTACCGGTGATGCCTGACAGAAGGTGTGGGACACTTGACTCAGAGAATTATATGCTTATTTGTTTATTCCTTTTCCCCTGTGCTTAAATGCCTCTGTAAATCCCACGTCCCACATTTCCAGCTCCAGCAGCAGTGGTCTCTTGAGCAAAGGGGTGGAACAGGTTAAAAAGCGGAAGACTGGCGAGGAGGACTGTAAATGGCTCAAGTGACCTTGCAGCTGGGAATAACCCTTGATAAGCCACTGTGAGCAGCAGCCAGGGATCCCCTGGCATGGACAGAGTTTAACAGTGCCTGTGTCTCCTCTGGTGTGCCTCTGCTTGGGGGATTCCCCGGTCAGTGAGGTACCAAAAATAAATTTACTCTGCATTCTATCTCTGAGTGTGTGGTTGTCCTGGCTGTCTGTGTCAACTCACACCCCCACTCACTGTGCAGAGGTGTCAATGCCAACACACTGCACAGGGGAGCAGAGAATCAGGCCCCACAGTCTCTGAAGACACATTAGTACAGGCTCCTGTGAAAGGATAAGCAAGGACACTAAAACCACTGAGGAAAAGAACAATAATGTTTTTCATTGATAATGCTATACATGTTCTTAGTAATGAGTCTCTCAACTCACTCTAAGTAAAGCAATTGGCATGTTCTTTAGATAGAGCAACAGTACAAATACAGCTGTGTATATCTGACACACAAGCGTTTGATTTTGGACTTGCTGAATGTTCAGCTAGTTGATGAGATCACTTCGCTGTTGCTGCACATAAAAAGCAAGGTAACTGCAGCATGCTTAATTCTGATACTAATCACTCTCCTCAACAGACTGAGAACCTGCATCAGGGTCACTCCTGTGCATCTTTTTTTGCCCTCAGATATGTTTGCAAAAAATTTCTATTCACCACAGGGGAGCTGGGAGAAGAACGCCTGGGGATTGATGGGCATCAATTGTACCCACAGCTGTGAGTTCTTCAGTTCTGGCTGCTGCAAACATACTTTCAGGTCTTTTCACAGTTCTTTCAGTGCAAAAGAAATGGAGCCTATTCCTTGGTGTTATTTCAGCAGCCTCACTGGCTTCAGTTTCTCTCCCCATGTTCAGATGGCTCCTGAAGCTGTCATCTATATGAAGACTGAGAGTAGAACAAGAAAGGTAGTGCAATCCTGCATTAAACTCTCTCTTAAATATAGACAAACTTGCTGTGTTGAGTTTTTATATAAAACGTAGTGCAAATGATGTTTGGTGGGTAAGTAACACAGATTCCCTTGTACCACAGTATTTTCATACCTTTCCCTTGTCTGGATTTCACAGCTACCACTGTGCTATTGCATTGCCTGTGTCACATGGCCTTGTCCCTTTAGTGCCAGTGAGAGTTTGGTTTTCACTGCTAAGTATCAGTATGTTCAACAGCAAGACTCTAAAGAAACTGCCAAAGAGACAGTAATAGAAAGTGTTCTGTATTTGTTCACTATTTCTGCTTACCCTTTTCAATAATGTCCATTTTCATTCCTTACCCCTTTTTCAAACAAAGTTCATTATAATTATCTGTAGTGGTCACCATCAAATAGTCAGAATTTACACACAGTTACTACAGAGCAGCATCTGAGCAACCACAGTATTATTTCTACACAGAATAGGAAATAACTGTGGTGACAATGATACCATTGAGTGGTAAATGTGGTTCTGTGTTGCCTTAGAGTTCTTCACTGTACTGGCACCATACCTGTTTCAAGTTACTTTTTCAGTGACAGAATAACAAAGACTATATTAATCATATCAGATATCTACTTGATTAAAGATATATGTATATACTACATACCTAGACCCATCAGATCCATAAAATTAAAAGAAAGACACTGGAGTTTATAAAATAACAGCAATTGTCAACTTCCACTTCTGTAATTTTTCCTCTTTACATGTATATGAACACATCTATTTCCAGCTGCTAATCAAAATCAAAGATGTTCTGTTCTTTCACTAAATTCTCTACAAATTATGAAAAATGTCTGTTTGCTCTTCTTTTGTTGACAGAAACCTTTGAATCACCCTTTGGTCTCAGTCAGATCACACCTGGTATTCCATAAATCTCCCAGGAAAGTGGGAAGTGTTTAAAATAGGTGCTTAAGACATTTCAGAAAGTCTTTTTAGACTTGCTTCGGTCCCTCTCGGAATAGTTTTGTCAGACCATTAAAAGGGAAAAATATGTAGTTTTTGATAAAAAGGCTACTCCCCTACCTTGGTGTTAGATAAGATACAAGTAGACCAGTTTTCAATTATGTTAGAATATGATATATGTGGTAAGGCATTCCTTAAAATGTGATGAAGAGGCCATCTAAAAGGAGACATAGGAGGAAAACATGGCTAGAACTCAAGAGAGAAATGAACAGGAAGCACAGCTGAGAGAAGTATGACTGTATAAATCCCACTTACAGCCATTCTTACAAAGCACATTTAAAAAATAAATAGCAGTAACTTTACTGCATGTTTAGTGATTTTTCTTGGGAGATCTTTAACATTAACACTGCAGTGTCTCCATTGCTCCAGAAAGATCAGAAATGAGCTCAAAACACTAGACATGGCCCAGAAGTCCCATCCTTACTCCTGCCTCCTAGTCTTTAGTTTACTATTTAAACAAAGCCCAAAGTATGGCTACTCCACTGTGTGACTGAGGCTGTCCATCACTGTGCTTCTGGGAATGTCACACCCCATGTGTGACTGCTGTGCACAAACAGAAAATACCACACTGGTGTATCACCCTCTTCTTGGGCTTCTGCCTAATGCTGCCTTCCCACTCACTCTTGATAATACTCACTGATGTGCTAGCCTGTGAAACTGCAGCCAGGCTCCTGGGGCTACTGAAACCCCAAAGTCACTGTCCAGCACACTGAGACTGCCTAACTGCAGCTGGCCCTGGCAGTGAGGGCTGAGAGTGCAAGGAGGGAGCCTTCACCACAAACAAGGGACAGCATTCAGTTGGTACAGGCAGCTGGATCAAGCCATGACTAGTAAAGATGCCACAAGTTCAGGCTGGATTTGCTAGTGATAAGGGTGAAGGGATGCTCCACAGATGGGAAATGTTAGCTCGAATCTTCTTAAATTCTACTTGATTACCACCCACTGATGCAGGTACAAACCCATCAGTAACAATGGCCCTGTCACAGTTTCTCAAAAACCCCTTAGATGCAGCTATCAAATGGACATGAAATGGATCAGAATCCATGTATTTTACACTCAGAAACTGTCTCTGCATCCCTCATGGAACTGGAAGAGCTACCAACCCCTGGTGCAAGCCAGCCTGCACAGTAGGGACTGGAGGGAACAAGGCCAGTCCCACAGACACTTTCCCTGTATTGGGACAGGCAGAAAATGTTCTTTGGTTTAGCCCTAAGGAGACAAACTTACTTTCATTACCAGAAAAATAGAGTGGTGATGTAGCCATCTCTCTTTTTAAGCTCTAGGGACTTGCTTTTATCCAGATCAGTAGTTATGACAGATGTCAGCTGTGGGGGAAAAAAAGGAGAGTCCAATTTCCCTGCACTGACAAGTGACAGCAATTCAAGCCACCAGGTATGGAAATTTCTTACCAATACCCACCTGCTCTTTGACCAAGAATTTTGGCAATTTAATTTTGCCAAAATTATTCAGGGCTTCAGGATGACAAAGCCAATAGGAAAAAGACAGAAAGGTCAGTCTGAGACTCACAAGCCTTCCTCCAGGATTTGGGGGCTCATACCCTAACTTGGGGTGTGAGATTAGGGCACCTAGGCAGGCTCATCCAAACCAGTGGCATTCAGATGTCCAAATCAGCCTCAGACTTCCCAGAAAGGCAACGTTGGGTTGGGCTGCATTTTCAGCTTTCCCCATGCTGTATTAGAGTTGGCTGTAACAATTTAGTGGTGCCCCTGTAAGCTGGGAGAATAGCCTCAACAAACACCAAGAAACAACTTGCATATATATAACACTGAGATAGAATGGAAATTACATTGTGGTTTTCAATTTTCCAGAGACCAGTGATACCCATTTTATCTGTGGACACCTACAGATTACAATCTGAGGGCTAAACAACAAAACTACAACTTAGGCTCTTTTCCCTGGAAGTAAAAATACTTTTTTTTACATGATCACATTCTCTGTACCAATAGACCATGTAACTTGAATATGCCATGAGAGGCAGGAAAGAGAATCAGTCTGTGGCCTTTCCTTTACAACAGGACTTGGACATGTGCCTTGCACCACTCCATTGTGTCCCCTCCACAGCTCATAAAGTATGTGCTTTGCAAAGACAAGGCAGGGAGGTGTTTTCTTATTTTTTTAGTACAGTGCCCTTTTGCAGCTGTTACTCATAATGGAGTACAACCTGACAGTGGCAATGTTGGGGCTAATTCTATTATTTCACTAGTGTTAGTGGAATTGATCCTAGATTTACAGCAATGTACCTATAAATAAAACCTAGCTTTTCAAACTTCATTAATTAACATTATAACATCAAAACATTTCCAAAGATACTTAGCTATAGTGTTTCTACTTGTAAAATAAGCCTCTTAAAGTTGCTTTTTATGTCTTGAAGTAAAAAGAAATGAGTCTACAATTAAGCCAGTGTGAAAAGGAAAGGGAGGAAAAAAAAAACCAAAAAACACTAGATTTGGGACCAGATTTGACAGTGATGATTCCCACAAGTAAACTCTGACCTTTCAAAAGAGATGGCAATTTAAGGCATTATGTAAGAGCAAAAGCTGACTCTTTGCCAGGTTATTAGTATAGGCCTGCACCCGCTGCAGCTTTGCTGTAAGTACTTTCCCAAATGTCTAGATGTACACAGCTTTAATACACACAACTCGAGCTTCTGTAAATCTCTTACAAACATGGAGCAGCATGTACAGTATTCCATATCAGGGATTGAAAGGCTGCATATGGTGCTCAGTTATAACAGCTGAGCTTTAAAAAAGTGCAGCTTTGCATCTTGCTGAACCTGATACCAAATGAGGCCAACAAAGACAAAAAGGAAAAAAAAAAAAGGAAGGAAGGCAGAAAGAGAAAATGCATATATTAAATATAATTTCTACAATAGAAGTTCTGTTTGCCATCCTCCAGGACTGACAGCTTGCCAAGGCAGCGCTTGTTGCCTGCAATTCTCAAGCTCAGTATTTGCAACTTCTTCATAAGTTAAAACATCTTCAGCCAGGGGAGGGGAAAAAGACAGTATTTTCCCTCCCTCTTCCCATGCCCCTGCTTGGCAAAGCAAAGCCAAACATAATACCTGCTCAAGGAAACCTCGAGGCACTAAGCTAGCTCAAGTCCTCCATCTGGGACTGACTAGTGACAGAAATCAGGTTTTTCTGTTGTTTCCACAGTCATCCAAATGGAGAGATTAAACCGATCCTCGAT